CATTTTTGTTCGCCCGTCTGACGAGCGGCCTTTGTAAAAGTTGCTTAACTTAAACGATCGCGGTTTATACGCGCACGGTCCTGCGGCGTCGTGACACGCACCTGCAGCACCTGCGGGTAGATCTGCACGAGCGTGCGCACCAGCGAGTGCAGCGCCCGCCGCACGCTGTCCGCGCGCCCCGCCAGTGAGCACCCCCGCGCCGCCCAATTCAGCTGCTCCTGAACGAAATCCCAGGCAAAAAGAAAATTTTTCTTTAACATATGCGTTATTGTAGTCGGCTATTGCTGGCGCAGTCGGCTAACTTCATTGCAATCAATCAATCATTCAGCCCTTTTACGGCCCCACTGTAGGGGGTCTGGTCTTCCTTATGGATAGTTAAGGAAGATGGGCCACGACCCTCCACGCTGGTCTGCGAATGACTGCAAATGCAGCCGGGACCAATAGCTTTATTATCGCCTTTATTATTTTTTTGGATATATACATACAACGTCCTCAGTCAAAAACACGATTGATACTGGATGCAAAGATACTCTACGCCATAATAAGTAAGTAAATTATATTACAGAGTTCCTACTAAGACTCATATCCGCAAATGTACTGTATTGTTTGCATCTAGCAGCTGGCGCACCAGCACCCTTAGTATGAACTAAGCCATAGAAAAGTGAGCGCATTGCAGCATTGATGCGCCAGCTGCTAGATGCAAACAATACAGTACATTTGATCGCGGTTTATACCGGTTTATCCCTGTTGAAGGAATGATCCTTCAACAGGTTTTTCATTGCAATAGACATTCAAAATTTGCGGTCAGGAGGTTTTAACAGGAATTGTACAAATCACTGTCTAATACATAAAGCGATGTATAAAATTTGTCAAATTTTTCAACTCTTTCAACCTCAATCTCTTTCTGACTTGGTCTGTTTTCGTAAGTTAAATCATTCTCAAATATCACTGTTTGTTACATTTCATATACTTTAATATTACTTAATTGTGGTAAATGTCGTTGGAGGCAAAATTATTAATTTGTTTTGTAATGTTTGTGTATAATACTATATACATTGTATTTTGTCACTATTTGGCTTGCCCAAATAAATAAAAAAATCTAAACTGTATAAAGTGGAAATTTTTAAAAGTTTGCAGGCCTAAAGTGTATAAAATGGAAACGTTTATTTAGTTGTTTGCATTGTTGGTTTTTTCGTGGTTCTTACGAAAGACATAAAAATGAGTGAGAAACGCGAAGTCGCATATATTGATTTAGAAAAGTACCTTCTCAGTCTTCTCTATGCTGCCTTTTTCGGCAACGGGTTGTGCTTCGGGCTCACTATCACTCGTCCCCTCAAGCGGCTCCCAAGATCTGCGAAATACCAGGTTAAAAGTTAATAATATAATACAGATATTTTAGTATGAATTATAATTTAATTATAATCGTCATCAGCATCGTCCCCACGTATATACATATATATATATGTATATGTATATATAGTATATGTCTTGTCACTTAGATTATTCAATTTAGTATACTTATATGGAGAAAATTAAGGGTATATATTATTTTTATTGCTTTTTCAGTTTTATTGTTTCGATGTTTATATTTTTTAAATGCATGTCAAAAGTTACTGTTACCGCTATTTTTGAATACGACATATCGAGCGAAATATTAGTAAAAGAGTGCCGTTTTCGCCGCAGCCGGTGCGCTGCCCGCGTGCGCTATGTACAGAGTGCCGGTACCTGCAGCGGGCGTGGTCGTGTGCGAGATGCGCGCGCGCGTGCAGCAGCAGCGAGAGCGCCCGCCGCAGCCGGTGCGCTGCCCGCGCCGCGCTGCCCCCCGCGCGCTCCCCCGCCGCCGCCAGCCGCGCGCATCCCGCCCGCAGTGCGCTCGACGCCGCACAACTCACGTCCCCCGCCTGCATCCACCATAGCGTCCAAGGGCGAACATTTTATTTTTAAACTTCAAAAATTATCCCACCATAAAAATTTTCGTATAAAATGCTGCCAAGCCGTTAATCATATGACTCGCACTTTTAAAAAGTTACCAGATCTCGTAGAGCTAAGTTTCCAACTCTACACGCCCCAACCTTACAAACTCTTACTTCACAAACTTATTTACTCAAAACATGTGGCTTGGCCGTTTCGTTTTTACAAAGAAGAACCTATGATATAACAAAAATTAATGAAAGGTGAATATTTTTTTACTCTATGTCGATGATAGCGGAACGGCCGTCCACATGTTTTGAATAAGGTGTTGTGTTTGTGAAGTAAGATCTTGTAGAGTGAGTTAGAGCGTGTACAGTTAGAATCTAGACTCTAATAGATCTGATAACATTTTGACCGTGCGAGTCATTAGGTCACGGCTTGGCAACACTTTACATGAAAATGTTTTTGGTGGGATATAATATTAGTAAATATAGCTTAAACTTATAAACCTTGTTATACATATTTTTTAATCCTATTAATATTATAAATGTGAAAGTTTCTTTGTTTGGATGTTTAGATGTTTGGATGTTTGGATGTTTGGATGTTTGTACGTCAATCACGCCGAAACTAATGAACGGATTTTGATGAAATTGGGTGTACAGATAGGGTATTACCTGACTTAGATAATAGGATACTTTTTATCCCACCAAAAGGTTCCCTAGGGATAAAAGTACCTCCAACGGCGCCTATTTTTGTGAACGCTGCCTAAACGGTATGAGATATACTAATGCTTTCTAAGGAAAAGTTGGAGAGCCTTAAATTATCTATAAAAAAGTCCGCGATGTCATATATCTATACGCAAGGGTTTTGCCACAAAAATAAAAAGAACTTTATATAAGTCTATTTAAATTTTTCGTCCATCTTTAAACGTTTATTTGAGTAGGTGATATTAAATCCTTATCGAAATAAATATGTTTATCGTCGAAGAAATTTAATATACATGAAAATTGTCTTTTACACCATGTAGATTGGATGAGTAGTTTAGATTTTAATACGATGTTTTTGAGAAAATAAAACAACGTATATTGCCGATTTTCTAAACACTATTTTATGTACATGTATGTATTAAGATAAAACAGCATTTTTAATGTAATCGGTAATATTAAGCCCAACAAATGGCATTGCCTATATTCTACATTGTGATGTTGAATTACCGCAACTACTTGGATATAGATGACTGTGACTCTGCGGTGCGATTCAATAATCTCTTCGTTGTAAGTGATTTCTGCGTTGTCAATTGGTTCTATTTGTCGATTTGGCTATTCTAACGGACTTGACTTGACATTTTGTGTGATTTTTTCTCAAATAACTTCTATATTTTCTATCTATTTAGCAATTCTCTAACTTTACATATTTATATTAAGATCTGTATCTAGCTTTCTGAATCTACTTCTCAATTAACTCTTTGTTTATTTCTTGGGTCTACCTCTGAATCTTGCAAGTCAAGAAAACCCAACGTGCAACATTAGCAAAAGCAGCGACCGCGGTGCCCTTTTGCAACAATGTAAATTAATCGTGTAGGACGAGTGCACAATGTCGCACAAGCGCGTGGTTGAGGCTTTGAACCGGAGCCTGCAGGACATCCGCAGCAATGAGACGCTGATGGGAGGTGCTGTTGTTGTACTCACTGGAGATTTTCGGCAAACTCTTCCAGTTATTGAAAAGGGTACACCGGCAGATGAAATGAACGCGTGTCTCAAGGCTTCGTCATTTTGGTCCAACGTAGAAAAACTCCACCTTACTCGGAATATGCGTGCACAACCTTACAATGATACAGAATCAGGTGCGTTTGCGAGTAAGCTGCTCGAGATCGGAGATGGTAGGCTGAAAGCCGATCCGGACGGCAAAATCATTTTCACCAATGAATTTTGTGCTACCAAGGAAGAACTACTCGCCGATGTATTTCCCGATTTAAAAAACAAATTAAATAATGAGGAGTGGTTGTGTGAGAAAGCAGTACTGTCGCCAAAAAATGAATTAGTGAATAAAATAAACAACAAGGTATTAGATGTAGTAGATGGCGCATCGAGGGTGTACACGGCAAGCGATGACAGCACTGCGTATCCCGTGGAATTTCTCAACTCATTAGAATTGACCTGTTACCGCCCCACAAGCTGGAGCTGAAGGTTGGCGTCCCAGTTGATGCGTAATCTTGACGCTCCGCGATTGTGCAACGGCACAAGATTACAAATCAGCGAATTGGGAAGAAACATTCTGCGAGCAACAATACTTACGGGAGCAGCTAAAGGCGAGAGCGTGTTGATTCCCCGCATACCCATTATACCCCACAATTTGCCATTCCAGTTCAAAAGGCTGCAGTTCCCATTGAAATTGGCATTTGCTATGACCATCAATAAGTCCCAGGGGCGAACCCTAAAAGTGGCCGGCATACATTTGGGCATTCCCTGCTTTACCCATGGCCAGCTCTATGTGGCATGTTCTCGAGTGTCAAGTGCAAGGAACCTGTATGTACTTGTTGCGAATAATAGATCATACAACATCGTATATAGATCAATATTATAAGATAATCATAATCTTGATTATTATTATCAAAATCTGTTCAGTGGTTGCAGCGTGATTGACTAGCAAACATGAAATTGTTAATGAAAAAAAAATAGAAGTTAGTTAGGTCAGATTTACTTTACTCTGGATATACCTACAGAATTATTTAAATTATTTTTTATCTCACTAAACATTTCCTTAGGAACCACGCGGGCGAAGCCGCTGGCGAAAGCTAGTTTGTTATAAAAAATCAGTGTAGGTATTCATATAAATCGTACTTTCTTACGCGAACGTTAGTTTCTTTGAACAGAATAGAATTTATTTATTTGTGAAATATAGGTATTGTCAATCGTACGGGAACACTTATACTAACTTCAGTTCTACCATATCAACTTAATTTCAATTGATAGTTATTTGTTAAAGTAATTAAAAAAATAATGAGTTAATAATGGCAATTTCAATAAGTTTTAAACGAATTTATTGGTAAATATTATTTGAGAAAGGCTTTAGATATTATGTCTAATATTCTACAATACCTGCATGATATCCTGTAGGTTCCTGAGTAAAGAGTTCTCTTCTAATAAATCAGGCGGAGCCGGCGGAGGCGGTGGTGCTGTTAATGCTCTCTCGAATGTCATGATAGACCACCTGGGGTAATATTTATTTATTCACACATTATATAGACTCGGACGTCATCACACAGAAAACTATGTAAATCTATGATATCCAGCAACTTATACATCTATAAGTGTTACAGCTATCTTCATTTATAAGTGCGTTGGATTGCGTTACGTTTAGAGTTGCTCACATTTGTATTTATTAATAAAAACCTTTTCAAACCGAAACCGATTCCATCTTATCCCACACCGAGTATTCGAGACTGGTTAATTTTATTAAAATCTTTCTATAAAATAAAAGCATAATATTTATGTCAAGTAAGTAACACTGAGCATGTAATTAATAGCCTTCGCTTTGTTTTATAACGACTTATTATATGTTCAACCTATGATCTACAGACTTTGAAAGTTGTGTTTATTATTGTGATAATACATATTATTTTGGTAAGACATGATTTATGTAAATGTCATTACTTATCATAAAAAGCTGGTAATTTTCTTTCGCTTGTTCTTCTTGTCAGCTAAAAGACGTCCCGAACAAGTGGTAGGTACAATTTTTTGGACGATTCAAAAGTGCTTGTAATAAGCCTACTTGAATAAAGATATTTTCATTTTAATTTTTTTCATGTGCAAATATCAATACTAAAGATTGATATATAATGTTCATGCAAACCGGGCATATCCCTACTCGACGCGGGCGCAAGCAGCGCAGCCCTCTGCTGGTTAGTTAAATAGTCTCACCCAGAGCGCCTTAGAGTAATATTACTAACGAATGTAATGTGTCATAACGGCGCGGCGCCATGTCATGAAACATATATAAGTATTGATCAAGAGAAGCATCTTTTCATTGGACAATCCCTACGAGTGCAGCATTCCACGTTACCAACATGGAGGACACCTCTACAAGCGAAGCTACCGACATCATGAACCCGCACCTCTTCGAGCGGCACGACGGAGCGGACCAGTTACTCAAGTCTGGTACTGAGGACGAGTTCACCGTACTCGCAAATAACACATAATGTATATGTTCGATGTTAATACAATTAGCACGTGTTAATTTTCAGCAAAGATTAGTAGTTAATGATGTTACCTGTCGAGCATTTTGGTGGAGGCTCTCTCGTATCTCTCTAGCAGCAGTTGCAGGTTGGCCGCGTCGTCACAGGACGCTCCCCAGCCCAGCACCCGCGCCAAGTCGTTGCCAGTACCGAGCGGCAACACAGCGGTTTGTACTTGACGCTGTGATTATCACAAAGTAACATCAGCCCCTATGATTATCGCTAATGGAAGAATAACGAGATTACAGATAAAGAAGCTCGAACTGGTGGAGATGTTGTTCTTTTTTTAGAAAAAGTACTAGGGAAGGTCGTGAATACCGAAGAGTCAATTACGAAAAATAACTGAGACCTATTATCACACCATGAAAAAGACTAAGCAATTAGCAACTAAAGAAACAAAAAGCCGCGAGATGTAATTCGAACTGGTCATATGAAAAATGTGCTAAACCTAGTACTAAAATCACTCTTCGTTTTATGACAAGACGGGAGGTTTCTCACGTGCATATCTAGCTTGTCAACTTCCTGCAGCACCCATCCAACAGAGCCGTCCCCCGAGCAGACGAGCACACGCAGCGGTGCGAAATGTCTGAACAACCGGAGCCCCAACCTCGGTCCCGCACCGCTCAGCTCGAACACTTGCGCCGGATTCAGGAGCTGCTTGAATCGCCTTAGGAACTTAACGCCTTGGTTGTCACCTGGGATAAACGTCCGTTGGTCTTGTTAAAATCTAATCTGTAAAAGCTTATAATCTGTATATTGTTTTAAACTGTCACGGTATAAATAGTTTATTTACTGGGTTGCCATGTATCTTATATATAGAGTCCCTGATATTTTAGTGAACTCAGTTAATAGTGGTACGAGTATCGAAAGTAAAAGGACTCCAAAGAGCGTACATCGGTATATGTGCCAATAATATCCACCGATAGCCTTTACTTACTCCGTAATCAGCCACGAAATATCGGGGTCTCGATATAATAACATAAGGTACATGGTAGCGATCCCGTAAATAACTCTCATTCTAGAACTATAGTCTGTTCCTAGGGTGTGTGGAAAAGAAACGGAAAATGACCTATCGTTAAAAGATATCAATGCGTATCGTCATCTATATCATATACACCGAAAAGTACTGTATTTTGTCACAGATCGCACCCCGTACAACAATAGGCAGTATACCGCGGAAACGATACAGAGTTCTGTGGATAGCGATACATATCGTATACTTTCAATGCTCACGTAATACTTTTGCTCATTGACCATTTTTTCGCATGCCCTAGGAACAAGGTATATTTGGATACTGACACCACCGTTTGTGTATCGAGGACACTAAAAATAAGAGAAATAATAAAAATACGTTAACTTAAGATGTAAAAAAAATATTGACAAGATAGTGCATTCACGAGCGCCCTAAGCAGTTCTTTAGTTTGTCTATATTGACTGTCCTGACTACTGGTACCTGATCGCGAATTGACGAAGACTATAAGTGGTGATGCGTTTGGTGGTCTGTCCGGCACCCACGCGTCGTCAGGCCCGACCGAATGCAGACGTGTCGGCGGCACCACCGACGCACGCGCCGGCCCGAGCATGCATGCAGCACGCCAGCTCGGTTTGCACGCGGCGTGCACGCACTTGCGGCACCACACGCATCTGAAGTCTTGTAACCTGAAAAATGTACATCATCATAAACTTTTTTCTTGGCGCAGAGGAAATGTACCTAACGCCTCAACCAGGAATCTCCAATCACACCTGTCCTGACAGATCAAAAAGATTAGTTAGTCTATCTGGTAAGACCTTTTTAGGAATCCGTTGATGGGTCCGGAATCCAGTATTGAGCCCGTCAAACCTAACCCCGTTCATATATCATTAAAATCGATATTCCCAAATATAAGACCATAATTATTTTAAAAAACAATTTGGGGGAAGGAATTTTGCCAATGCTGTTAATAGTTCTTGACGCTTTCGCAGCCCAAAACAGCAAAGCGCCTTTACCCCAGATCGAATGCACTTACCACTGCACTATAAAATTCCGTAATCAAAATTATTTTCAGTAAGTGTGATATCGACGGCGAAAATATAATGAATATTTACATACAAAGTTAGTATTTTAATAATAATTAATAAAGTTGTCTTAAAATCTAAAACATTTTTACCCAGATAGCATGCTAACTTGGGGCAACTTTGATTTTTATTTGATTTTAAATTGCTGCGTCAAATATACGAAGCAAGTTTGTGACAATGTCGCTGCAATATATGAAGTTTCAAGTTTGTGACAATATTGTTTGAATATTGTTATGACAAAGATACTTATTTGTAATACTACCGTCATCTTCATGGTTACCCGAATAGTTCTAAGTCTGAAAACTATATGGCGCTGTTCATTTAATGCATCGCAGTATCAGTTTATATTGTCAGATTGTATAAGTAATATGCCGTTTAATGTTATTTTAATATGGGATCCTCAATCGCTTTTGGACCAAAAGTTTTAAATGATTAAAAGACTAATAAGTTTGATTTCACCTTGCTGCAAGTTGCTGCAGTTGTCATGGCATCAAACTTGTTGCAAGTCAGAAACAAGTTTAAATTGCTATCTGGGTACCTTTTTAGTTTTTTAATACTGTCCGTTCCATTAAGGAAATGACGTTAATCCAATTATGTGGTAAATATTCGTTAAATATTCGTTATTCGAATATTTTTTTAATCTATACTTAGGTGCTGTGTCCCGAGTAAAACCCTTATCTACTTCATATCAAAAAACAAAACGAATATTGTTCTAACGGGTAATCCGAATATTAAATGCTATGGATTTAAAAAAATCCCCTCCATCGAAATCATCCGTTCAATTTCAAATTGTACACTGAAGTGATGAAGATTTCACAGTCCGCCAGGCGCCGTTCCGTCTCGTATAATCCCGCCGCGTCGCCGGCTGATCCGGCTCGGTTACCGTTGCATTCCCATTTCCCGGCTAGACATTGGGAAACGTGAAAATGAAACGTATATATGACATTTATATTATTATTCCTTTAAGGCAAAGGTACGTAGAAGCCCATGCAGTCTGATTTGTATAAAATTAATGTAACAATAATTTCTTTCTTTATTTATAAAAAAAGATGATTTTTTTTATTATTCGATTATAAACGCAGCATTTTTTTTTGTTTTAACAGATTTAAATAAGGCACTATCCTAATAAGATTCCAACTTCATTTGACACAGGTCGTTAAAAATGAGCGTGTGACGCTTGGCGACACATTTTTTTATTTATTTATTTTAGGAAGGCAAGTTAATATATGTAACCTACACTAAGCTGTCGTCAAACTTCAACATACATTTTTTGATTGTTTTTCACTTTTATTAAAGTTTTCTGAAGTCTGTTTCCAATTAATTACCCGCAAACTTACTGTAAAAGTGTTGTGTGTTGTTTTTTGACGTCTATTTTCAATCAATTACTCGCAAACAGCCCTTGGCGACAAATTGACTCACTTATTTTTTTTACATAATTGATTGTTACAAAAAAATAAGAAAGTATAATTAAGAGAATAAATGGCGAGTTTAAAGGGTCAATTAAAAGGGTTATTTTCTTTTCTGCTACATAACTTTCCAGTAGAGGATTATGCTATTTTATTTAAGTAAACCTGCACCTACAGTTGTAATATTTAATATATTGTGTCAAAACATACATTTGATAACTCTGTTACTATGATAGTTTGACTACTTCGAATGCTTAAAACAACATACCTACTGTGCCTGATTGAAGTGATGATTTTGACTACGCTACAAACTATTTGAAATACTCAAAACGTCTAAAATGTCAATAGGACTTTCTGTTTTAGGATTTAAACAGTAAACATATAATGAACGACTGCTTTTAGATATAATTTTGACCCTAACTTTATGGCTGAGTTTTATAATTAATATCGCTAAAAGCCTTTTCATGTGTCGTTTAGGAATGCTGGAAAAAATAAATGAGCTGAAAATAGGGATCGTAAAATCCACATTAAACTGTAAGAGGTCGATAACTTTTCATGAACCTAAATACTCTTTTAGGGTTATTCTATCTCCTTAAAAAAGAAACATACCTACTAAAAATTATGTCTATTTATTTCTCTGCATATTAAGTTAAGATAAAGATATTTTATTGTAAACACACAACAAATATTTAAATAATGACTTACAAACATAAAATCATTTGCACAATAGGCGGCCTTATCTATATATTTCTTACCTACGAGTACACTGTAAGAAGCAATGTTACATAATGTAGGTAGGTAGTTTGTGTTCATCACAAACAAATAATGTTATTAGAAATATTAAAATTATAATAAAAAATTATAAAATAAATAAGTATTCGATGCTTAGGATATTATCCTAAGGCAAAATTCGAATAGATTTCTGTTCACCTGACAGAAATGACTTCGCAGCTATTATAGAGATTTGAAAGACTCCAGCATTTGAGTGCGTCTCACATTCTCAGGCCAGGAATTCTATAAATGAATAGCTCGCAGAGAAAAGATTGGCTGTAAAATTGAGAAAAGATAAGCGGTATGTAAAGACGGAGATTATCAGATGTACGAAGTGAAAGAATGTGAGTAGAGGAAAAAAATTTAAAATGTTGCTTGAGGTGTTGATGGATTGAACAACAAAGAAAAGAGAGGGGATAATAAGTGTAGGTCTCTACGTCAATGTATCCAATTATTTAATTATTATCCAATGATTACACTGTAATTTATAAAGTTTATTATTATAATTAACTAAGTTTATTATTTAGGCAGTGTATAACATACATTATAATTTTCGCCTTTATATTTCTAATATCGAGACGAGATTAGTTTGCTCGACTTCACCTTTACCCATTCTGTCACGAACTACGTAATGGGAAATGTGCGAACTAGTTCGTGTAGGTCGTCTGTGGGAACCAGTTCGTTCGCGAACTATACAAGACAAGTTCGGCTTAAGATGTGGAAGTTAAGCAACTTTCGCATGGGTTTGTTACGACGGGTGACCAGAATTTGCCACTTTCACTGGTTAGAAGGGCACACACTGAGCCTGTATGGTAGGTCATGACCCATTCTCCCTGTTCGATTTGAAACGTTTCGACGACATCACTGAGAAGCACGTAGTAAAGACGTAGTAAAACAGTGTCATGTGACTAAGGACGACTTTACACGGGTGATATTAGGCTCAGGCGCCCGAGTTACGTCCCCCATTAATACGCATCGAGAGTAGAGACGCGCTCGCTTGATTTTTTTTTTTATGGGATAGGGGCAGACGAGCAGACGGATCACCTGATGGTAAGTGATTACCGTCGCCCATGGACACCTGCAACACCAGAGGGGCTACAAGCGCGCTGCCGGCCTTTGAGGGACGAATATGATCGTAGGGAGGGAAGGGTTGAGGGGTAGAGGGAAGGGAATAGGGAGGGGTTGGGCCTCCGGTACCCTCACTCACACGACGAAACACAACGCAAGCGTTGCTTCACGTCGGTTTTCTGTGAGGCCGTGGTATCACTCCGGTCGAGCCGGCCCATTCATGTCGAATAAATTTAATCACAGAAAAATAAATAAATGCTGTATAAAATAACACATTGATAATTTTAGATTACTTTTTATATAGTTAAGTAATTTTTTTATATAGTTAAGATGTAATATATTAGTCGGAAAATCGATCCAAAAAACTATTTAGAGTAATCTTTGTGATATAGCAATCGTTGTGTCAATTATTGTTTTTTTTTTATGCGACCATATGTTTATTAGTATTTTGGTAAATATCAGCATAGCCTTAGAATGAAATTGGTTTAATCTCTCCTTAAAATCTCGCCATAAAGAAGAGTGTCGCTCACCTGAGCACGGAACCGCAGGTTTTTTCGCAGACGTCACACTTGGCTGCCACAGGAAGGTTTCCCTCGAGCCATTGATGAGGCATTATTATATTCTGTAACAAACAATAATAATAATAATACACTTTATTGCACTCAATATGACACAGGTTACAGGAAAATTACAGTAAGAAAAAATAGAACACAAATGGCGGCCTTATTTCTATGCAGCAATCTCTTCCAGTACCAATGGAGAGAAAAAATAAATAAATGTATAATGTGGGGGGTGGTAGGTCAATATAACGAAGGTTAAATAAATAAATAAGGACATACTTCTAGACAAACACATACTAAGATGATTAAAAACAGATTTAGATTAAAGTTCTACAACAGTGTAAAATATATCTATATATAATAAATAAATAATGTATTAGGATATAGATAGGAAATGAAAGTTGTGTTAGAAATACAAAAATAAAAAAAAGAGTTCACGTTAGAAAGTATGTAACGGGACACTGAGGAAAAAAGTCAAAGTCAAGTCAAAGTCAAAATAATCTCTATTTGAATAAATATTATTTTGACTTTGAAAGAAAAATTAAAGAAATCTGACATTTATTTATCGTAAGTCACACATTTTTCTATTTTATCGTATAACTAAGTATAAAATGTTTTGGTTAGGTTAGAACTCTGTGTGAATCAGAAATTTATTAAGATCTTTTCCTCAGTTTACTCCCCAAAACATTTAGTTTTCTTATTTTTTTACAGATTAATTGTACGTTCATTCATCATCATCATCATCATCACCAGCCCTTTTACGTCCCCACTGCAGGGGCTCAGACCTTCCTTATGGATG